ATCTCATAATTTCTTCTTTGAGTATAATGGAAGAGAAAGAGCACTATGCCTGACGTGTGATTTGCCCCAAGTAAAACTCAGCTCTGTGGAGGCCCAGGAGTCAGGGCGGTGGATATTCCTTTGTGCTCCCACATGGGGATCAGCCCCTCTCCATAAAAGATGTTCTGGACATAGAAGAGTTCACATTCCTGAGAGCATTAATCAGGACAGACCAGATATGACATAGAATGCATACAGAGATAAGTAAAGCACAAATAATAACTGAATAGGAACACTGTAAATATTAATGCCATTGCTAAAATTAATTTATAAAATAGAACAAAATGTGTTTAACCACATTTAAAGCTAATGTTCTGAAATTCTTGAGAGTTTGGTACATTGTGCAGAAAGTAGGGAAGAAAACTCAGCTAAGCTTGTTCAGATAGGAAACTGTTTATTAATTATTCAAGTTAATTAAGAATATAAAGTATGTTGCATGTGGTGATACACATCTTTAATCCCAGCACTCAGAGGCAGAGATAGGTGAATCTCTGTGAGTTTAAGTCTATCCTGCTCTACACAGCGAGTTCCAGGTCAGCTGTGGCTAGAAGATAACCCTATTTCCCCCCCCAAAAAAAGAACAAAATATATATATATATATAAAGCCCCCAAATACTTTCAGATTGAAGAATAATAGCTTGTAAAACAGCAGCAACGCTTTGGAATGCCACTGTATCAAGGAAGAAAATGAACAAACAAAATATTATAAAGCAAGAAAAAGCTAGGGAAAGAAAACACACACACATATCATAAAGTCTGATTGGTCAGTGATTATAATAAATGCCATAGCTCTCCTATGGGAAAAAACTTTCCATTTATTCAAAGCTATAAGATAATCACAAATATTATGCATTTTCTTTAATTTATGGCTCCTAATTTTCTCTAATTTGTGGGTCCTTTTATATAGAAGCATAAGATCATATGTCTGGATGACATGAATGTAGAAACAAAACTGTTATGGGGAACAAAGAAGACTAATGGGAGAGGGTAAAAAGGGAAGACTAAGGGGATGTGAAGGGGAATATGCTCAAGATACATTACAGGCTTGCATGAACATGCCCTTCAGTACTCCAGTATAATGCAATAAAATACTTAAGATGCCTATATGTACTTATTGAGACAAAATGACATAGCAATAGTTCAAATTCTGGAATGAACAAAGGCAGGTCAGGAAACTACAATAAACAGAAAACATGTGTGGCAGTGATAACTGAGGGGGCAGAGCAGTCTTCATACCACTTAGTCACTTTCCAGCCCCTCTGGCAGATAGCAGAGACCACCTTCTACCCAATACACTTTTTAAAATACAAGATCTCCAGGTTTTCAGTTAGGTTCTTAAGGATCTGTCATTCTTCTGATAAAAAGAGCAGGAAAGAGAAGCTCTTCAGGAACAGCAGAGAAAAAAACATGATGGGTGTCTTCTCAAAGAACAATGATAACACAAGCAAAACTGTCAACATAGAGCAGACCTCAGAACAAACTTAAAGATTTTTGAGATCATGAGCAATGCCAGGAGAAAAGAATAAAGGAACAGAAAAGATGTTCCAATAAATTATGGCTGAAAACGCCAAATTTAATGAAAAATGTTCATGTACACAAGCAATAAATAGGATAAGCTGAAGGAGGGCCACATCCAGACACATCAGAGCCAATGACCAGAAGACGGTGACAAAGAGGAATCCAGGAAGCAACAGAGCAAAGCAAGGTGCCACAACACACCTGTTCCCTCCACAGAGTAGGTTACGTAGAAGCAGAAGGCAGGAGGACACATTAAAAGCATTGAGAAGAAAGAACTAACAGCCAAGACCTCTACATCTAGAAAAAAACACACCACTGTTCTTCAGAAAAGAAAGTCTCAAACATCATGAGTCCTGTCTTATAAGAAACGCTAAGACGCCTTTCAGAATCAAGCAAAAGAACGCTGAATAGTGTTTGAATGGGTTTGACACACATATCAAAAGGTGAGAGCATATTTAAGTAAGTACAAGAATAAATTTATAAATGATGAAGAGTACTGGGTGCTAAAATTGTGGAAGCTACCTCTGTGGGTCAGGTGTGGGATTCCTGCTTTGTACTTCATCTATTTCCTATAGTTTGGATCTTAGGGAGACATTTCACTTTCCCAAATAAAAGTTTCTTGTTTGTTTGTTCATTTTGGCTTTGGTTTTTGTTTTGTTTGAGATAAAAATCTCTCTATGTAGCCTAGGCTGGCCTTGAATTCTTGGCAATCTTGCCTCAGCATCCCAAGTACAAAAGTAACTTTTTAACCCAGGGCATGATAGCACATACCTGTAATTTGAGTACTTGGGGGCAGGAGGATCTCAAGCTTAAGGCTGGTCTGCTCTAAAGAAGAAATTCCTCTCAACCCCCCTAAAGCATGCTTTTTAATATTTACAAACAGTACCATGAGTCCAGCAAAGCCTCTACTGTTTTACAAGTAAGTTCTAAAGCACCTCAAAGCATAGAGAAAGATAAAGGGTGTTTCCATGACTTCTAGAGTTAATACAACTCACTCAAAAACATGACAGAACACAATGACACAGCCTATCCTTATTTATGGTATGGATACAAGATCAGCAACAATACTATTAACAAGTTGAGCCTTTACCAACTAAGAGTAGCACTCTGTGAAGTCAACATAAAAGTGCATTTACATGGGAGAATGCTTCCATTTAGCATAAGTAATCAAATCTAAGAATAAAAGTTACAGGACTGTCTCAATAGAAAATGTTATCATCTTATCTTTCTACAAGTACTGTTAGTTAACCTGGTAAAGAAGAAATATGCCCAGTATCATTTGCACACTCAGCACTACAGATGTGATGAAAGGATGCCAAGAAACACTGACTTCTGCAGCACGAAGCATTAAGAGGTCCAGTTCATTGAGTAACACACAAAACAAACAAAAACCTTTGCTTCTAAAACTAAGTACATAGAAATGCCATTTTATTTATTACTTGATCTTGGCTGGGAGTCCAATAGCATTACAAACAGAAATCTCTGTGTTGTGGAACCTGGTTGCAGACCACACCTGTATCTGGTGGCACCCTCCCAGAATGTTTGTGCTCAGGTGAACTATGCAGGTATGGGCATTTTCAGCCAGCTCTACCTTCCAAAGGCAGTTTCCCATCCGCAGACCACCAGATCCCAAGACTGACTCAGCTTGAACAGAACACACTGTGCCCCTCCAGCACCAGCAGGAGGGAGCAGTTTAGACCAGGTGAACAGGGGCCAGTAATGAAGACAGCCTGGTCTCTGTCTGCCCTTGGGACAGAATCCTACCACCCCACAAAGCATAGTAGATTCACAGGGAGAAGACACAGTGGCCCACTCAGTAGCAAGTCATTCACATCATTAGTTCTAACCTCAGGCAGAATTTGTCCAGAAGCCCCTGATAAATATGGAGCCTCTAACGGTTGGAGAGATGGCTCAGTAGTTAAAAGCACTGACTGCTCTTGCCGAGGACCCAGGTTCAATTCCCAATGCCCACATGGCAGCTAACAACCGTTTATAACTCTAGTTCCAGGGGAATTCTCTCTCTCTGACCTCTGCAGACATTTTACAACACAGGTGCACTTACATATATGCACACAATATACTCATACACATAAAAATAATTAATAGGTTTTTTTAAGAAGATGGAGTCTCTCACTGGTAGCCCAGGGAAGTTAGTGAGCAGACAGAAGCACCACAGCTATGGTTTGAAAGGCAGAACAGTCTACACTACTAATAAATTATTCAAAAGAAATTTAGTTTAGAATGCAGGGTACGGTGTATAACCTCATTTTATATAAATGAATCAAAAGGCTTAAAATAACTCAAAATCACCTAAGTGATGCAGATACACTGTAACTTTTATTTTCTTCATTTTCATCATGTTTTCTAATATATACAAAGGTACACAACTTACATAAAACTATAAAATTACAATATATAAAGTAAGATCTCTGTATTACCAGTTGGAAAATAAAATGAAAATACACCAACAATGCTCCACAGAATATCTAGAAGCCATAGCAGAAAAGTGGATGTGGGACAACCAATACACTTACATGTATTTACATTTTATGATGCAGAGAAATGTGAAGCTGCACTGAATTCCTGGATGAACAAAGACAAGATACTTTACAAACACAAATTCTTCTAAAATTCACTTACTGATGAAACAAATTCAACAAAACTTTAATATTTTTCAGAATTTGACAAAATATTCTGAAGAACTATTTCCACAGAATTAACTTTTCTACAAAATAAATGGATTTTTGGAGGGACTGGCAGTGCAGCTTAGTGGTACGTCACTTGCCTAACATGTGTAAGGGCCCTGGCTTGATCTTATTCACTGCATGAAAATGCTATCACGTTTTCTCAAAATTGGTCAACTCTCTTTCTTTGCTTCTGTTTTTTCCTCCATGGAATTTTTTAAGTTGATTTGACAAAGTGGAATAGGATTCAGAAGTTAAATTCCTCTGTTCCTGCCCTCAGTTTCCATGTGGTGGCCCAGGGGTGCTGGGACATTAGATCAGAAATTAAGTGTTTGCACTTCTAGGGCTGGTATCTACTTAGAATGGACAGCACCTGGTGGGTACTGCCTTGTATAAACCTTCCCCAAAACAAACACATGCAAATATGATCTGAATGCCACCCCCCATTATGCCAACAAGTGTTGAGAGGGAGTAGTCTCCTACCTCCAAGACTGACCTATGAGTTGATGAGGTGTCCCTGCATGTGTTTACCAGCACTGTGACAGATGCCAGCAACCAAAGTATTGACAGAATCCAGCCCTGTCTTTATCAGATCAGTAGATGCAACTTCTAAGAGGAAATAGCTGAAGGGTTCAGCCTTTGAAATGATGGCCAACCACAGCTAATAATAAGCCAATACCTCAGGTCAAGGGAGAAGAGTGTGGCATTGGCTGATGAGTCACCCTCCTTCTCAATAACACATTATAAAAACTTTGTTATTCCTCAGAAAATTCTTACACGATCAGAGTGGGACCCCAAAAGCACCATGGCTGCTCTTGGCATCACCATTGCCTTGTTGGTGTGGGTGGCCACCCTCCTGCTTATATCCATTTGGAAGCAGATCTATAGTAGCTGGAATCTGCCCCCTGGACCTTTTGCACTTCCTATCCTTGGGAATGTTTTACAGCTGGATTTGAAGGATATACCCAAGTCCTTCACCAAGGTAAGAGAAATATTCCTCTCTTGGGAAAACAAGTGAGAGTTTAGAAGTAATATTTGTATATACACCTCTTCCCATGGAGCACTCTCAGTGGGCATTGCCATGCAGGCCTGGAGGCCCCATACAGTTAGAGTGATTATAGGATACTGGTGTTGTTGGTATCATCATGTGTCAGCTTCGATGCAACAACAGGTGCACCCTGGCTGATGTCAAACTGTAGATCAAAGGACAGACTGAACAGGAAAGTATTAAGACAACTGTTATTCACCAGAGTAACAACATCTGTAGTTTCAAAGTGCTTTGAACATTGCATGGGCTAACCAATGCTAAAATGCTACCAGGAATGCAGTTGATACTCAGTGTCTATGTTAGGAGGTATCTTTGAATATGGCAGACTGGCTACAAGCTTCAGAAGCACTGGCTTAAAGTCACCTGGCAGCACCCTGGGGTCTAGAGTCTTAACTTTGGAAGCAAACAACAGGGTGACAGGTTGATATTGATAGCAACAGAGAACTGTGTCTAGGTGGAGGTAGGGGACCCTGAAAACCCAGGAATTTCTGGTGGGGAGAATCCCTCCACATCAGACTAGATAAAGACTGCCTTTCCCAAGTCCCTCTAACTCTCTATGAATAACAAGAACAATAATCAGAGGTATGGACAGTCTACAGCAGACTGCCTTCTGTCCACCTACTGGTCCACTTTGTACATTGGTCCCTACAGTTGGCACAGCGTTTTGGGCCAGTGTTCACACTGCACCTAGGATCAAGGCGCATCGTGGTCTTACATGGCTACAAGGCTGTCAAGGAGGTGCTGCTGAACCATAAGAATGAGTTCTCTGGCAGAGGAGAGATTCCTGTGTTTCATGAGTACAAAGACAAAGGTGAGTTGGCTTCCTGGGCAATGGGTGGGGGACAACTAACAGAAAGGGTGACATGCATATTATTTGGTCCCCAAAATCTTACACAAACAATAGTGAAGCAACAGGATAAAGACTGAAAGGCAAAAACCCAGGTAGGTCATTGCTTGTGCCTGCATGAAAGCTGCTATGAGTCTCATACTGAGTAGATACTGTGTACACCATGAGAGGGCTTTCAGACTCCTAACCTCACCATAGCATTGACTAGCTTACAGAGAATGGCAGAGGGGCTCCTGAGCCTGAGAAACCTTCCTCTGAAGATCCATCCTCTGGTCCTCAGTCTTCTGTACTTCTGGGGATTCTTTCCACATAGCCTCAACTGTCTCTGAGGTGCAGGTGGCTCCACACACTCGAGTCCCCTCACTTAGCATAAGGCATCAAAACTTGCCTGAAATTCTACTTCCTGGGATGGACTAGGCTTCAGGTCCTTGCTTTGATCCACTGTAGATAGTGGTCTCCAGACAGAGATGTGCTGCCCTAAATCTAACTCACCTGCTACTTTCTGCAGAAGGGAATTCCAGGATGGGAGCTGACTCTTCATGTCTTTTCCCAGCCCTTGACTGCAGCTCTACCTTCCATGGGTTGTGAGCACAAGGAGCAAGGATTCGCAGTTCACTGGTGCCACCTGCCTGTCTAGCCTCCACCTTGCCTGTACATCTTCTCTACTCCCTGTCAGTTCAGTGATCCCAAAGCAGATCAGATATAACATGTTCCATGAGTTCTGCCTGACTCAGGTCCTGTGACAATTCTCTAGAAAGTTTTTCCTGTTTTGTGGGATTTTAAATCCAAGCACACTGACCCTTGTGTCTGACTCTCAGTGTCTAGCTTAGTTTATCAGTCTGTGCTTCCAAGGTTATTTCATCACATGGGTAATAGTATTTGATTTTCCTTACTCAGTACTTAGGTTTATAGAACCATCACAGTAAAAACAAGAATAACCATTTCAGTCCTTGTCCTCATCACAGGAGTTACTGAAGAGGCACTATGCCAGGGGGCAGGGTCTTGCTGGGAGGAACACAGTCCTGGTGTAGAACCCTTACCTATCCCTTAACCCCAGGCTATGCACTGTGCAAGGAAGTTAGGATTTGCTTCTCCATAGGCTGGAGCTCAAGAGGCCTTTCCTACCTCATTGCCTACAGAGTTTTATTTTTATAAATCCCACATAGCCCAGAGAGACACTGAAAACCAGCTGGATCTTGGGTGAAGAACAAGGTTGATCCTCCAGTGATCCTTAAATAAGTGTTTGTTATAACAGTATAAGATTAAATACAGGTGTATGACAATGTGCCAAGAAACCACATGCATCATTTGAGTAAATGTTGAGAAAATATGGTCCCCACCTGGACACTCAATCTGGTGAAAGACCCCTTTACCACAATGGTAAGCAGTCAGTTCTTCCCCTTCCTCAGCTATTAGGCTCTTCCTCTGACCTTCAAGATAAAACTGGTATCATCAGTCTCACACATACCTCCTAGTTCATGTCACATAATTCCTGGCACCTCTCAGGCTAATCATCCCTCTTTCTAGAAAATTTCTCAGACCACAGTGAGTACATGTCCCCTGGACACTTTAACACTTCTGCATTGCCTTCTACTGGGCATCCCACATGTGATTAGACAGTTTCTATGAGAAAAATTATGAAATGAAAGCAATTACTTCAACTCACGTGAATATTAATTTTTGTCCCAGAATGCTCAGAGGCTAGCAGGTACCTTTACACAGTAGATATCCAAACACTATGTATTGAAGAAACAATAACAGATAAAGAGAAGGAGGAAGAGAGGCAGAGATTGGAGGACAAGGTTTCAGGAGCGTAGAGAGCACAAGGCCAGCAGGGCTTTGCTCAGGAAGAGCTGAGTGGGACTACGGCTGTCTTGGATACACTGAATTGGCTCCAAGGGGATCCAACAGCTTCAGGAGATAACTGAACGTCACCAATCAAGATGATTTAGATTTACGTTCAAAGAATGAAAAATGCTCATAGAACTAGTTGAGACAGGGATAGAAATAAAGGGGAAATACTTTCAGATTGTTGATTACCAATGTCTTCACAGGGGTCCAGGAGGCCACCTGCTGGGAGGAGAAACAGGACAGCTTCTTTGAAGGGACAGTACTCAACAAGTGTGTTTACAAGGGAGAGTATTCAGTCTTTTCATCTCAGTGCCCCAAAACTGGGAAGTCCTGTGACCTTCGGCTCTTAGGCAAGGATACTGCTGTGAAGCCAGAAACCTGAGTTGAGATGTTTGTGAAGTAAGGATTAAAATCCATGGGAGCAGAAATGGTGCTTAAGGATTGTATCAATAACCAGGAAAGGGATGAGTTCTCTCTTGGAGAATGCCATCTATGGTTTATTTAGCATGGTAAAGGTTCAGGGCAAAGTATGAAACCAACGAAAATAAACTGGTGTTATAAAGGAGCAACCATGAAACATGTCTCCTCTCTCCTCTTGTGCTTCTACTGTACCTATACATACCACCCAGTACCCAAGGCCATCTCCTTTCCCCGCTACTTCTTTTAAGAATTGGGCATTTGGAGTAACCTCTGTTGGCTTTTCTTAGGGATTGTTTTCAATAATGGACCCACCTGGAAGGATGTCCGGCGGTTTTCCCTGAGCATCCTCCGTGACTATGGGATGGGGAAACAGCGTAATGAGGAGCGTATCCAGAGGGAGGCACACTTCCTGGTGGAGGAGCTCAGGAAGACTCAGGGTATGTATCTCAGCAAACAGCCAGAAGGGAGGCCTAGCTAGGTTCCTAAAGACACTGAACAATCAGGAGGCAGTTGGCTAAAGGGACCCTGGAGAAGGAAAGAGTCAAGTTGGTCCCTAGGCACTGCCTTCTCAACTTGAGTTTACAGCTCTGCTTCCCAAGGGAGCAAGAGTGGCTGCCAGGTATGGCTACTGTACCCTAGGTAGCAGTAAAGAGACTTGGAGGCTTAAGCATTTACTGTGTCCCCAGTGAGGATTTACAAGAGACTAAATTTGCTAGGAAGATCATGATGAGTGTGTGCACTCAGGCTTCATCTGTTTTCCAGGCCAGCCCTTTGATCCCACCTTTCTCATTGGCTGTGCACCATGCAATGTGATAGCGGACATCCTCTTCCACAGGCGTTTTGACTACAATGACAAGAAGTGTCTGAGGCTCATGCATTTATTCAATGAAAACTTCTACCTGCTAAGTACTCCCTGGGTCCAGGTGACTGTACTCCTCCTTTTTCATGAACTTTCAGTAGTATTGTTTACATCACAAGAAGAAAAATTCAGATTGTGTGGGAGAGACAGGCTAGAAAAGCAGAGAACAGGAATATGTAGGAGAGCATTTGGCTGGACTGGCTCTATCTTTTCCCTAATCTCAGCACACATGCTTACTTATATGTGCACATTCTTACCACCACTACCTGGAGAACAGCACCTCCAGAAGACATTGCTGCCCCAAATATTCTAAATAGTATAATAATGACAACCATAAATTCATTTGGTTCAGAGGTTACTAGCCTGACACATAAAATCATGCCGCATCTAGAAAAAAACTACATAGTGACATACTGTTTGCTCTCCTTAGCTTTATAATAATTTTTCGGATTATCTTCGATACCTACCTGGAAGCCATAGAAAAATAATGAAAAATTTGTCTGAAATAAGACAGTATGCACTTGAAAGAGCAAAGGAACACCTTCAGTCACTGGACTCCAGCTGCCCCCGGGATGTGACTGACTGCTTGCTTGTGGAAATGGAGAAGGTACTGGACATGGGCATCCAAGATGGGCTTGCTGGGGTGTGGCAGAGTGTATATAATTTTTATATTACGACCCACTCACTGGTGTCCTGACTGCTCACCATGGTTGTATTTTGATGCTCTTGATTTTCATAAATACACTTGGCTTCAGCATAACCACGCTCTTCCCTGGTCATTCTTGAATAGGGAGGGTGGGTTGGTAGTGGGCCCTCTGTTCAGCTCCCTCCAGGCCAAGATGGACTGTAACACTTGGGGGGAATGCAGTCTTTTGTCTAAGAACCCTTCAGCATCCCTTTTGGCATGTATTGCCCAATTGCCTGTTCAGAGTTCTAGGCCTCCCCAGTTTTACCTACCTTGCCTCCCCTAGGACTTCTGAGGCCTCTTGTGTGCCTGCCTCTCACTTTCTTGTCTTGAAAATATGTAAATCCCACACTGATTTCCTCTAGATAGCTTCCATTTGAGAATCCTGATTATCAGTTCAACCCCCCCATGCCCCTGGGTCCCAAAGCACAATCCTGGGCCTAGAAAGAAGGTAAGGCCAGTCCCTGCACATTGAGGGTCATGATCAGAGGCCAGGTCATCTCACTTTGGTTCCAAAACAACCCCGACACTATTGACAGGACCCTGAGGCCTGTCAATAAGAAATCCTGCCCTTAGCCTATTTCCTGGAACCCTCAGTTTCTTATGTCATGATGTAGAAATGATCAATTCCTGGTTTCACAGGAAGAGTTTGACATGCCTTGGTCCCTCTCCGGCTGAAGGGCAACAGGTGTCACCTTCTAGCACCTGGAAAGATCTCACCCAGTCCTTGTCTATCTCCAACTTCACAGGAAAAACACAGACAAGAACCCATATTCACAATGGAAAATATTTCTGTGACCTTGGCAGACCTGTTTTTTGCAGGGACAGAAACTACCAGCACCACTCTCAGATACGGGCTTCTGATTCTCATGAAATACCCAGAGATTGAAGGTACGTGAGTGAGATGTCAAACTCCAGTGTGGCACAGCTGAACCACTGCAGGGTCACTCTGCACAGTTCAGGCATTAGCTGTTGGTCTATGGCTGCCTGTGCACCTCCTCGGTGCCCCAGCATCACTGAATGAACTTCTTTAAGATGTTCAGGAACCTGGTATCCTGAATACTGACTGGTCTTTTACCACACCCCCAACTGTGGCCCCTATGGCCTAGCACTGAAGTGCAGTGGGACAACGAGTCTGTACTCTGCTCTGTAAATAATCTGTTTATGACAGTGAAAATAATGCTCCAGTTTCCCCTGAGGAAGATTTTTTGGATTTCTAGGCTGAAACAGGGATTCATCCTGGAGCATCTTACCCTGAGGGGCTCTGAAGTGGAAACTGAGAGAAAAGCAATCAAGGCTTCCCCCAAACCATTTCACAACTTAATCTTTAAGGCTTCACAGTAGGACCTAGGCAGAAGGAACTGTGTCTGAACAGGTGTTCGAGGCCTGAGCTTCCAATGCAAAGGGTCATGCATGCCCCCTGTCATAGAGGCAGTATGATGGACCCCTACATGCTAGCCAATGGTGACTACGTGTAGTAGAGGAATTAAGGGGGACAACCACGTAGGGTAAAGGTATCAAGGTCTTAGAACCCTGCTATTCTATGGACTGGGCACAAATCTGGGGAGACACTCCCCCAGAGCACATTAACAGAGCCTCCATTTGCTATTGATGGGAACTTTGTTTGAACTAAGTTCTAGGAATGGGCCAGTCCTTCAGTGCTCATCATCTTCTAGCTTTTCAGTTTCTGAGAGTTGTGAATATGAAGTAGTTTCCCAAGAACATGGTTATGTGTCCGTCTGGTCCTAGGTGAGGACTTGAACTCTGGTCTTTCTGTCATCAAAGCCTCTGTTTCCACACATCATAAAGAAACATGAACACTGAAGGAGGCTAAAGTCCAGGAAGGGAAAGAAACAAATCTGCAACAGTTTTATGAGAACTTTTGACCACTCTACTAGGGAAACATTAACTAAAAAATGTTTCAAATTATTATTTTTCTGGGGGGGTGTTGCTGTTGTTGTTGATTTTGACAGGGTCTCCCTAGTTCCAACCCACCTGGAAGTCACTATGTGGACCAGGCTGGGCTGGATCTTGCAGAAATCTATCTGACTCTGCCTCCCAAGGGCTGGGAATAAAGGTGTACACCACCACACCCAGCAGTTTTTGTTTCAAATTATGAATATAAGGAATTTCTAATACAAAAAGGTAAATATGACAGACACCCATTGCCAAATTGAACATGTGTTAACATTTTGTGATATTTGCTTCAGAGCTCCAAAAGGGAAACATGTTACAGAGCCAGCCAAAGCCCACCAGCTCACACATCTCTGCCTTCCTCCCCAGAGATGGCAATGCTTCAGGACCACTGCGTAGCATCCCCACATGTGATCTGTGACTTGGACATTTAACACTGAGTATTAGCACACAACTCATATTATTGTTCTATACGTCTTTAATATTTTACCCAAGTACCATACTATATTCAACGTGCTGAAATTTGTTTTAACTCCACATATCAGAGAATCACATAGAAAATCTCAAATACAGAAAGGCTGGGAAACTTGCCAAAGGCTGCCATTACCTCTGTTATACATTGTTACACATGACTCTGTTATCCTGTCATGCTTTTCCTATTTTTTAGAAGTTATAATAGTAAAACAGCCTGGGATAATAGCACAAAGATTTCCTTCTAAGAAGAAATTTCCAAAACCCTTTTGTTATCTCTACTCTTGGCATGAAGAGAATTAGATAAACCCTTATGAGCTATGATAAAGGACTCTGTGACTAACTCACAGAGTTTAGTTCTCATTGACTTTTTTTTGGAAAATGATTTAATAATTCAAAGCACCTAGTGACAATAAATGCCAATTAGGGTGCTTCATAAACATCCATTGGGTGGGTTTGGTGAATGGATGGAAGAGTAATTGGATAGAAGTGTGGATGGAAGGAAGGTAGGAGGGTTAGAGAGATGGATGAGTGAATGAGTAGGTAGGTAAGAAGGTAGAGGGGTGGGCAGATGAGCCAATGGTTAGGTGGGTAGATGAAAATGATTAGATATATGGGTGGTGTTTGGACATTCATCTTGGAACTAAACCTTTAAATTGATCTCTTTCTTAACTTGGCAGAGAAACTTCATGAAGAAATTGATAGGGTTATTGGGCCAACCCGCATCCCTTCTGTCAAAGACAGGCTGGAGATGCCCTACATGGATGCTGTGGTACATGAGATTCAGAGATTCATCAACCTTTTGCCCTCCAACGTACCGCACGAAGCAACAAAGGACACCATGTTCCGAGGATACGTCATTCCCAAGGTCAGGCATGATCTGGAGAGCGCTCCATGGGCACTCTACTGTCAGCTTATCTAGCCTGCCAGAGCCAGGATGGAGACTCAAGGGCTCGTTTCTCCAGCATATGTGAATGGATGTGAGGGTCAGGCCAGCATCCTCGCCCTGCAGAATATTTCATCAACAGTCCTCCCATTATACCAGTTACCATAGAAATGAAGCAAATCAGAAAATGCCTCCTCTATTAGTTCCTAGGACTTGTAGCATATTCTAACACTGGGATCTCACAACAGTAGTAACCTGACTTGGAGTCCATCCTATGAAAGATATATAGCCTTCCTCTTGATTTAAATATGACCCCTGACTCTTTTCTATCTAGTCCTTAAACAATGTTCCCAATTACAAATATGATAGCCTATGTAATACAAAATTCAAATAATGTTCTTCAGTGGGGGGGGGGGCGCAGGGGCTTACAGATCAGAGCCCATATTTTGTTAACTTGATTGATGGAAACTTCTGTTTCTTCCAGGGCACAATTGTAATTCCAACTCTGGATTCCCTTTTATACGACAAGCAAGAGTTTCCAGATCCAGAGAAGTTTAAACCTCAGCACTTTCTGAATGAAAATGGAAAGTTCAAGTACAGTGACTACTTCAAGCCATTTTCTGCAGGTAAGCAAAGCTCAGGGGTTGTACCCTCCTTGGGGAATTGTCTCCTCTAGTCCTAGCTCTACTTATGTGTGCTCTTCCCCAATCCTTGATGTTAGCTGTCACCTAACCCCTTACGTCTTTGTTGCACATAACCCAAGTATGTTCCTCCCTGTTTAGAGAAGTCAGATAAAGTCCTGGAAATGAGGTATTTGAATAGATTATTTTGCCAAAGAGTGGACATTTTGTCTAATTGTTAAACTGTTTCTATTTTAACAGGACTCAGTTAAAAGCTCTCAAAAGTATACTACCTAATTCTTCATGAATTTAAACAAATTAATAAACAAACGTTACTCTTTACTACCTAAACTCTTCTTAGGAAACATCCAGGTCTTCCTGGATGGTCCCATCTCAGGGCCTAACCTAGGATTCTGGTGAAGGAAGATCCCACAGACAACTGGTAACTTTAACATCTCATGTTTGCATAGGCTTCTAAGTTTACCTGCCCCTCTGTCCTTCCCGAGATCAGAGCAGAGAAGCTTTGGTTCCATTCCCCTAACCTATCACTTGTCTATGTAGTTGAATCTGTAGTAGTGGTATCAAAAGTCAATATCACTGACACTCTCTTGACACTGACCACTTGTATTCAGGGACCAGTAAACAGGGAGAATGAATCCTACTTTCCTGCAGCCTCCTCCACCCACCTCAATGTTCAAAATGTTGTTTGTGTGATGATTCCTCAGTATCTCATCAGCACTGTTGTTAATTCTAGGAAAACGTGTATGTGTTGGAGAAGGCCTGGCTCGCATGGAATTATTTCTGCTCTTGTCTGCTATTCTGCAGCATTTTAATCTGAAGTCTCTGACTGACCCAAAGGATATTGACCTCAGCCCTGTCACAATTGGCTTTGGCAGTATACCACCACCATACAAGCTTTGTGTCATTCCCCGCTTGTGAGACCTGAAAACTCTGTGTCTCAAAAATCAGCACAGCTGCTCATTAATATCCCTTAAAATGTGACTCTGTATTTGGAAAAAACAAATTCTAGGGTCCCTCTCATAGAATGGACTAGACAAATTGTAAAATCTTAGCGAATTAAGTGTTAAAATTTATGGAGTCAATACACTCATACACATAAAAATTTTTTTAAAAGTTATGGAAGAACCCTGTCCTCCTTAGTTCGTATACACCACCAGCAAACCTTTGCTGTTCACGCTACTGTGTCCAGCTTCTCCTGTGTGCACCAGCTTCCAAGCTAGGCACCCCATGTAAAAGTTCTCTACTAAATGAGTGCCATTTAAAAACCAATAGTGCAACATCTTCCAATCTGTCTTTGATCCTCTCTTAATGATTTCATTGGATCTGCCTAGATGATCCCAGGTTATCCACCCATCTGAAGACCCAGAATTTAACAATTTATTCAGAGTTCCTCTTACCACACAGTATAACATATTCATAGGTTCTTGGGATTAGAATGTGTGCACCTTTGGGGGACTTTTCTCTGTTGACCAGTTTTCCAGCTCATCTATCTTGGAGCACTACTGAAACCCAAAGTTAACAGACAGGCACCTCAACAGTGGTTCCATTGAAGGTATTTTATGATCACAGTTCTACAAATAGCAAAACAGCTTCCAGCAAAAAATGTATCATTTTTAAAAATTTGCACTGGGGAAGGGAGTTTTCACCTGGAAAGATTACCACTAGGAAAATTCTCAAGTGGTAGGGTCAGCTTTAAAGGTCATTAACTGATTGCAGTGTAGTCTGCTTGACACCTGATCAGCAGAGTCACTAACTACATTCACCTAGTGGTCCTTGAGCTTTGGCTGGCTGAAATCTGGCTATCTCCTCAAGGGAGAAGCACTGATTTCACAAGTACAGCTGCAAGCTGAGCATGGTGGTGCATGGCTTTAATTTCAGTACTCAGGAGGCAGCAGGTAAATCTCTTGAGTTCAAGGCCAGCCTTGTTTACGTAGCAAGTTCCAGCCAGTCAGGGCTACATTGTAAGACTGTGTTGCAAAACAAAAAACAAGTAAGAACAACAAAAACAATACACAAAACAGAAGTACAATTCTTTTGGAAAATTAGCCTTGCCTTAAGAAACTCTCTACTGCTGTGATATAGCCATTTCCTCCATGCTTGGCATGATCATGCCCATCTTGAAACAAAGCCACTATAGTACCCTATAGGAAAGCTTAGCCCTGAATCATGACAATAAATAATAATCTACACAACAGATAAGTAGGTGTATGGTCATGAGGCTGTTAACATTCCCTTTGGGAAGATGGAAGAAGGGTCATAAGAGCCTTAAAAGTCCCTGAAAAGATCTTCCTCTGGGATTCCACTAGATACTTCCTCATGCCCTCCTGTTAAATTCTGTAAGAGGTAAAAAAAAAAAAACTGATTTGGGGTGGGACTTAATTTTCTTTGCTACAGCTGCCTCTGAATCATTCGTGCTTTTGTAAATAACTCCACTAAACTCACTAAGTTAGATTTGATAAAATCCTTATTGTCTTCTTCCCTATTTGGGGTGAATAGGCATTTCATTTGCATTTCACCAGGAAAGTCACAGAACAACTGACAACCAAACAAGGGCTCAATAGGACCAAAGATGAACTGGGAAGGTCTGGAACACATCTTAGGCACACGCCATTTAAATGTTTACTGAACAATAAATGTTTTTCAACTGAGGACATTCCTGTCAACATTGTCTTGCTTGTGGACAACACATACTACACACAGCCTCAAATTACGTTTATTTTTCTTAGCTAATGAGGGAAACTCTAGCATGGAAACTGCTTGGCTTTGAATCCTAGTTCATTTATCCACCTTTTGTTTCTGAGAGTCTATGTTACCCAGGTCTATATGAAGAAATTGAATTAGGGTGGGTTCAGATCCTGTGAGAAGGTCCAGGTCTGTATTCCCTTGTCTGGGACCAGAATACTATGTCAGACACTGGAGATGAGCAAGAGGTGGGGGCAGCAGTTACTAAGGGCCTACAGTGTGAACATAAGCTAGGCAAGCTTAGAATTGGGCCAATGCATCACTGTCCTCAGAGACTTGGGGAGCCTGGACCAAAAAACCACTCCTCCACCCATAGAATAAGATGAAGCAAAGTGTACCCAAATGGACCCTTTATTTCATACGTCATATGTGATGAATTTGGAGTTGGTATGTCTCTCAGGCCTAGGAGGGTATCAGGTCTTGCTTGATGAGCAGATCTTGGTCTTTCTCCTCACAGACTTCTAGGGGCTTAGGACTGGCCTGTGGGAGGTCAAGGTCCAGATTGGGATACCCCCTGCGCACAACATCCCCTTCCACTCTTCTGTGTCCCATGCTACTATGTGTCTACAACTTCCCCAAAGACCATACTCTTGAGGATTGGCAGTAGCCTCCTTTCCCTTCCGCTCCAGCACGTACCATATTCCATGAACTGTCCCCTTCTTCTTGTACATTCTGGGCTTGAGCAATGACTTGTACTCCATGCTTTTCCAGTTCCTCTTTCAGTCTGTTCAGGAAGAGCAGAAGAGAAGGGATGCAGGAAAATCAAGAGTATGAAGAGACATACAGGAAGAGCAGGGAGGAGCCACCCCTCATTCCTCTTCCTGGGTAGAGTGAGAGCATAAGAGTTCTACACCTGCCTTTGCCGCTTCTGCTGCAGTTGTTGGCACCTCTGCTGAAGTTGCTGGTGGTGGTGAGCTGCAGCCTCTAGGAGCTCCTCAGCCTTCTTGTTTTCCTCCTCGAACAGCTGCCTGGAGGTGGGGTAAAGAGTCAGCACTAGCCATTCTCTCCTCCTGCCCCACCTTTATATCTTACATTGCTGCTGCTGCCTCCTGGCTGTGGAGGAAGAGACCTTCAGTGAGAGTGGAAGGCCCCTCAGGCCCACACAAGGCATACAGTCGATGTTTCACATCTTCCAGTTTCACCTCTATCAGCTTCTCTATAGAGGGAAGGAGTAAGAGGCAGGTGAGGGCAGGTGGAGACAGATCAGAGCCACCCTCTTGCCCTGGCCTCACCTTCCTTGAGCAGCTGCTCCTTGCTGCTATCCAAAGCACACATCTCTGTTGCCAGCTGTCCTGGCTTCTGAGGGAAGGCAGAAAGAAAACCTGTCCACATTTCTTGGCTTCCTTACATTTCAGAGAAGCACGACTGGGATCTAGTTATTTAGTCCCTCACTTGAGTTACTTCAATGAATGCCAGCCATGGTGTAGCCTCAGGGCCACTCTACTTTCCCCTCCCTCTCCTTAGACCTCCTATGCCCTGGAATCGGGCCTAAGAGAAAGTTACTTGAAGCCCTAAAATCTGCAAACCTACAATTCAGTTACTAACACACACCACACACACACCCCAGCCTCCTCAATGGCCCCTTTCCCTCTAACATTCAGCCTATTTCTGTCTGTTGTCTGGCAACTCCCGGGGGCAAACACACTTTGTTCTCTGTTGTCTCCCCTACGTCTGGATGGTCTCAGACAATCTATGGATGTTCTCAGTGAATAACTCTGCGTGGTGTTATCAGGGCTCCTCCTGAACACCGAATGGATGCAGCAATATGGTTGGTTCTGCAAGACTAACAGTGAGGATGATGGTAAGACCACTAAGGCTTATATGGGGACAGGATGCAATAGGTGGCATAGTTTGCATGACTCACATGAAATTCCCAGAGGTCCTTGTGCTGGCTCATCAGAGCCTCCAGCTGTTTCTCGAAATCCAATCTAGGGGACAACCACACAGCTTTGAGGACTATTGGTTGATACCACAGAGCTTTGTCCAGGTCTGGGTCATGCATAGCCCTCAACAGCCTTTGCTCATGTTTTCTATACCACAAAAAGCACCTTCACCACCCTGATTATCCACAGCTCAACTTAGCCAGCTCCTCTGGCCCATCCAGGGCATTACTGCACCTATAGCACATCTGAGCCTCCCCTGGGCCCCTGCATCAGGGTTTACCTCAGGTGTCTTAGTTTGTCCTTCTCATGATCAATCTTGGAGTTCAGGCCAGAAATTCTCTCTTTACACTCCTGCAGTAGGCTGTGCTTCCTGGAAAGGAAGGCAGTATTCAGACATGTTCTCTGAATGACTCGCCTAGAAGGGAGGGTTGGAATCGTTTCTATCCCTCTCTATTCAGGTCTGCATGTAACATAGTCGGTGATAAGAAAGAGTGACAGGAGCACTTATCCATAATTTCTTACCTTTGTGCCTCATTGTCCTTCTCCTGACAATGCAGTCTGATGATTCTCAGGGTCTCTAAAAGGAGAACAGGGCATATATTTGTTAAAGTGTTTGTGGGCCATGGAACAGGATAGATCATATCAGGTATGTGGATACTTGGATTAGGGATTGACATTTTTTAGGTATGGAGGAAGCCACAGGAGGATAACAAGGTCAGGAAGTCCTAAAGTTCCAGCTACTACAGTGTGGGCTTATACAGGATGGCACAGAGCCTAAAAGTGGAAAAGTTAGAAATACCTTGTTTTTTGCTCAAAATCTCTTTCATGCGTACTTTCTCTTCATGTACTAGAAAACATGATGAAGGTTCAGGTATCAGGACTCACGCATAGCAATGTCAGGGACAGCCATATGGGAGGCAGGGTATCGACCTGACTCCAACACAAACATAGTCTCCTTGAGGTGAGCTCCAATCTCTAAGGTACCCAAACTCCTGTAAGCACAAAGGACCCTAACATTCACAAAGCATATCTGTTAGAACCTTGCATGATATCCACTAGGGTTAGGAAGAAACACATCAGTAGGAAAGGGCCATGTAACCATGTAAGAGTGTGGTTGTGTCTTTAGGTAGAACAACTAGGAAGGGCATCTCTGAGAAATGAACATTTGAATTCAGAGCAGATGATGTAAGGCAAGAGGAATTTGTACTACCTGGGGTAATACATAAAGGAACATCTCTGCAAATGCACCGGGGGAATACCCTGTGGGATCATTTCTAGAACACTGCTACTAAAAGATGTGGAATACTGACAATACATGAGGCTAAAGAAAAGGCAGAATCTTGACTCCTGTGAAGATACTGAGTGTGAAATATTGGCTTAGGGGATATTTGAGACATTGCAGGGACTTCTGGTGACCCCTAACTAACTTACATGAGTCCAATTCCTTCTGAAGGGTATCCCATACAGTCTGGGCCTCTCCGAGCTCCTCAACGGCTTTCTTTTTTGCTTTACCGAAGAATAAGACAGACATCGAGTAAGTACAGCCTCAAGCTATAACAGTCATTTGTAAACAATGACATTTCACATTTGTCTCCAAGAAAATCTAGAGGGGCCCAGATTTTACAAAGCAGGAAACAAGACTTTCAGAGCCCTGGCCCTTCTTGCTGTTCTCAGGTAACAGCAGGGCCAGGTTCACAAGCATATAACTACATCAGTTTCATGCAGAAAGGCCCTCTACTTAACATTTGTCTGTTCTTGCTCTCATGAAATATCTACAGATTTTGGAACAAGGGCTTCTGTATTTTCACTTTTTATTGGGCTTGGAAAATCATATAGCTGGTCTGGATAACAATCAAAGTAACTGAACTCACCTTGTTGAACCTCATTAATACGGTTAATCAGGACTTCAATCCGGGGCTCCATATTTCCCACTGCAGGGAGCAAAGGAGGTAAGTTGTTGACAGGCAGAAATGGTGGGTGCCTGCTTGGGTTTCTGCAGCTTTCCCTTCACACAAATCTACTGAGCATCTCATATGTACAAGTACTGCATTGCAGTCTCATACTGGGAATGTGGGAGATAAGGAACAGATCAACAAAGGTAGCAAGCAAGAGGAAGGCTGTGGTAACTTCAGTCAAGAGAAATAAAGTGGGGAAAAGGTCTGAAGGTAAGGATTGGAAAGCGCTTCCCAGATATGGAAAAGTGTCTTGTGGGCCCTATATCAAGTAAGGAGGCAGCCTTGCAGCTCTCTGGGTGGGAGGGTAAAAAGAACAGAGGCCTTCCCTGAGGAGAGAATAGGGATACAATGAACCTGATGAGCATGTAAATGGTAGCAGGATGTGAAGTAGAAAAAAGGTGTATGTAAGATCCCTGGATCTAAGAGAATGCTGCTAAGCCAGGTGGGCTTAGGACAGGGTTTTGAGAAAACATACCTTCTATCCACTTATGCTTCACTAATTTTAGATCATTTGGGCTCCATTTTTAGTTTAAAAGAATTAAATTTAAGGGGCTAGTGAGATGGCTGAGCAGGTAAAGGAGCTTGCTACCAAGTCTGACAACCTGAGTTTGATTCCTGGAGGCCACGTCGTGATAACAGAGAACTGGCTCCTTCAAGTTATCCTGATTTCCATACATGCTGTGGCATGAGGTGCAAGCATGAGCATGCACATATATACATACATACACACATACATACATAAAAACTAAAATAAATGTTTTAAAAATTAAAATTTAATCAGCTGCACTCAGATCCTTGGCACCTGTGTATGTCTATTAAGTCACTGGGTAGATTTCAATGGTAATGTTTATCACCTCTACTAATTAACATGACAAAGTTTTATGCTTCCTCCTCAAATATAATTCATTTTTTAAATTTGTTTTTGTATCACAAAGAATATCCCAAACCATCTTATTCAACTATACACCCACTTCCAAGATGGCACCCTCCCATATCCTCCCCCACCACTACAGCCCTTATACTCTGTTATCCCTGCTACTGTCTGCTGTGTTGTCGACACCCCCAGCCATTCCCCACTACTTGTCCATCTGGTGAATCTAGTTGGGCTATCCAGAGGTCTTTGTTTCAGGAAGGTCAACTGTTCCTCATCTAGCAGCAATTGGTTGTCAATATTCCTTTAGATAAGATTGGGATCTGCTGTTCATTTTCCCCTTTCTATGCTGGGTTACTATCTCTTAACAGGGCTTATACTGAATTCAATATTGTATAACTATTAATTCAACAGTGAACCTAAAAATTTTATAGCCACTTTGAAAGAGATCTATCTTTGCTCTGGAAACTGTTATTATGTTAAAGCTGTAATGAAATGCTTCTTCTAAAATTTTTTTAAAAAACAAACAAAAAATTAAAATTTAAGTTTGAAGATTATTTTATGTGTATGAGTGTTTTGCCTACATGTATGTATGTGTACCACATTGGTGCCTGGTGCCAAGGAGGCCAGAAGAGGGCATAAGATCTTTTGAAACAGGAGTTACAGAAGGTTTTGAGCTGCCATATGGATTCAGGGAACAGATCCTTGGTCCTCTGCAAGAGAAGCAAGTGGTCTTAAATTTGAGCCACCTCTCCCACCCCCAAAATTTAGGTTTAAAAGAAAGTCAAAGTGAATGAGATAATTTCCTATTTTGTGAATTATTGGGCCTGGAATTGAATCTGCTTCTACCTGACTCCAAACCTCAGGCTAAGCCTCATAGGAGAACAAACACATGACCTTTAATCAACTTTTTCACCATTTCCATTAAGTCTTCAATTTTCTGTGTGGACATGTGTTGCCCTGTGGAGATAAAATCAACATTTCAAATTCAGTAGAGTGAAAGGCCAGAAGGATCTAATGCCTGGGCTGGTACTAAGGTGAGCTGAGGGCAGATCTCTAACCATAGCAATGTTTCTGTTCATTGCCATGAGATGGATAGGAGAAAAAATGAATTTGGCCCCTCGGTAGTCAGCCTTTTCCTTCATGGTGCAATGGCACAACAGATATGCCTTTTGCAAAACTTAATGTGAGGGCAATGGTGTCACTCATGCTGCTAATGTGGTCAAAGCTGGGTCAAGTTCACAAAGTAATGTATGAAAAAGAGTGCCAAGTGTGATGGTGCATGCCCGTAATCTCAGAGCTTGGAGACAAATGCAGGACGATCAACAGTTTGAGTCCAGCCTAACCTACAAAGCAAGGTCAAGCCCATCTTGAACTACATAGAGATCCTTTCTCAAAATGACAAGAGATGTAATTTAGTGATAGAGTTCTTGCTTTGCCATGTGCAAGGTCATGGGTTCAATCACCACTGAGGGGAATAGAGGGATTGTTTAAAAAACTGAAAGGAGTTGAAAAATCACTGTAGCAAGTAGAAGTATTATCAATTAGGAAGTTCTAGGAAGTCTTACACAAAAATACATGGGCTATAAACAAATGGATTATTATAGTAAGGTATCTGGCTAAAATATAAATTCAAATAGCTTTTCTATGTATAATTCGCACTGATTCTGAAGACTTCACGTAAGTAACATTTCATATTAACTTTCTTCTGTTTTTAATGTACATTTTTATTGAATTTTTGTGCATTTCATATAAAACATCTTAATCATCTTTATATCCCCTCCTCCATCAAGACCCTCCCCATAGCCCACCATACTGAATTTCATGCATTCTGACATATATGTTAAGGCCTATGGAGTCAAGTTAGTGTACTCAGACATCCTTCAGAGCAAGTGCATCCACTTAGGTCTCGTCAGCCTATCTAGAGTCTCTCCCTTAAAGAATATCAACTCTCCCTTACCCAGTAATAATCAGCTGCCAACAGTTCTTTAGGCTTTGTTGGGGCATGTTGCCCATTTCCCCAGTTGTATGCTGGACTTTTGTCTGCTTGAGTTTGCATGGGTCTTATACATGCTGACACCATTGCTATAGGTTCATATGAGCAAGGTCCTAGGAGTCTGTCTAAGAGTCTGTTTTCATATGGTCATATACCTACTCCCCTAGCTCTTACAATCTTTCTGCCCCCTCCCCACTTCCACAATGGTCCCTGAGCCCTGTATGGGTGGAATTTAATACAAGAGTCCTCTCCTAGGACCCACACTCTGCAGACTCATATTAACTTTCAATCACTATATGCATCTATTTTTCTCAAATGAGTAAGATTTAGGAAATTACTACTTGTGGTAATGTCACAATAAAGGTAACCAGGCATCAAGACTCACCTGATACACAAAAATCAAAACAAAAAACCCACAAAGAACCCACAAAAACAATAACAACCCCCCCCAAACACATTGCCATCTATTAAGGACTCTTTCCAAAAATGATGCCAATACTTATCAAGGGTCAAGATATCAATAACGATTCACAGGAAAGGTCGCTATGCACATAGTAAATAGCACACAAAAGTGACAAAACAAAACAACGTCAAAGGGGGAAAAAGGGTTGAGAAAGGAACTCTTTAACAAATAAAAGTGCCTTACGAGAAACATCAACTTAAGCTCAAAGAATAGTCCGTAAATAGATTTTGATTCAAATAAATGTGTTGTAAAAAGTAATGGAACAATTATCAATTTTGAAAATGAACTAGATATTTGATGAAATAAAAGGAACTGTTGGTGCTATTTATATAGCTGCAGCAATAATGTTATTTTTCTGGAGTACTTATCTTCTAGGCATATTCATGGGAATTTATGGATGACACTCTTGGATACTTTGCAATGAAACAGAGGGTGATGGCAAAAAACAAGACTGACCAACAGTCATCAATATTAAAGATAAAGGACAGATCATGTTCTTTGTTCTTGTATAAGCTTAAGTTTGTCACAATAAAAATGTGGCTTATACTCCCCAATACAGAGAACTAAACAATAGTTTTCACAGAAAGGTGAGGAGAATAGTAGAGTGGATTGGACGAGGTCCCAGCACTGCACGCCAAGCGTGCTGGGATGGCATCACCAGAGGCTCTGGAGGGCGAGGGGTGACCCTGGCTGGGGAAGGTCGCTATGCACCAGGCCCAGGCTCACAGGGTCCCACCACGAGGCCCTCTGAGGTAACAGAAGGCTCTTGCTTCACAACACGCTGACACCAAGCGTGGCGCCACGGGGAAGCTGCTCGAGCCTGCTCTGAGAGGAAAATGGCGGCGTATGGCTCGCAAGCCAGACATCAGTGAAGACTCCACGTCGTAATCCCACCCCAGGGCTCACAAACAAACCTTTAACTCACCCAGGTGACCTTCCCACCCCGCCAGCCTCTACCTGTAGCCGCCTGAGGGCTGTGGCCCGGGCCTGCGAATCCGTCCGACGCCACACCTAACGGCTGCGGCCTGGAAGCCATGCGCCTCCTCTCCTCAGTACCGCCTAGAAGGCTGTTAGATCAGGAGCCTGCGCATTACACCGCAGCTCCAACGACCGGCCGCGCTACCCGCACTGCGCATGCGTAAAGCCTTGGCCCAGCCCCACACAATTCTGATTGGACCTGATTGGGGCCACAGAGGGGCTTCCAGGCAAGTCACCTGATCACGCATGAAGGTCTCTCGCAGTAGGGGTACGATTATGGCTGTTATGGAAAGAGTTAAGGATGTTACGGTTAGGGTTAGGGTTAGAAGTTGGAAGGCCTCTACTAGTGTACAGAACGGTGAAACTGAGCAGACACATGATGCCTGCTGAAAAGAACCTTAAGGACCTACAGTGGGTATGGTAAGCAGCCCAGACCCCAGTCTCCAGGAGACCACAAACTGCTTCTTAAGAAAAGTCTGCTAACCCTGAATACTTTGAGCCATCTGCCAAGACATAGCCCAGGTCTGAGCACTTCGGGCACATTTCACACTGACTTGGAGGGACTACTCCCAGCTCGTTCATCTATAGGGTCCTCTGTGCTCTGAGGTGCAGATCTTTTTATGTCAGGATTATGCAGAAGTCTGTGCCTACCCTAAGGTAGCTTGCTGGTGGCCCAGCCCCAATCTAAGGTCTCAGAGACCAAACCTGGAATACAGTAGGTTCTCAGCGTTCTTAATTGAGGGAGTCTGATGGACTCCTGCCCTGGACAGGTCCTGGGCAGGGTTCACCTGACCCCTCTTAGCAGATGTGGCTGCTCTGGAAATGAGAATACCTGGTTTCAGATGACTGGCAGAGATGCGTTTATATACGCTGTGTTAAATAAGTAATCCAGCATGAGGTGACCATAGAGAAAACTAGTATAATACATTAAGGATATGTACTGTTTGTTTTATTGAGGACTGAAGCTAAAATACTAATTTAATATAGGTACTTGATGTAGTTTCATTTTGTAATAATTATGCTTATATATTTTAAAGTACAACAAAATTAACATTTCTTTCCAACTTGAAATGGTTAATCTTCAATGTCAATTTGGTTGGATTAAGAATTACAATGGGGTCTAAATTTGATTAAGACCTATTATATGAAATGCACAAAAACTCAATAAAAATATTTTTAAAAAAGAATTACCACAGTATAGCTATGCATGTATTTTCAGAAAGGTTGCATTGGAGGGAAGACTCATCATGAATGTGGGTAATGCCACTGAAAGGGTGGGGTCCTGGGATGAAAGAAAGAAGAAAAAGGAACTGAGCACAAGTGTTCATCACTCTCTGCTTCCTGGTGATGGAAGCAATGTGACCTGCAGTCTACTGTTCCTGCTATCATACTTTCCTGACCATGATGGACTATGCTCTTAACTATAAGCCAATACAAACCCTTTCTTCCTTAAGTAGCATCTTGTCAGCTATTTTGGTCACAGTAATAAGAAAAATAACATGTATTGCTAGTTTCTTACTGGGCCTAATTTTCAAATTAACCTTTCTCATGGGTATATGCATATAGGATTTGGTACTCCTGTGATTTTTAGACATTTGCAAGGTTTAGGATATCCTAAAGGGGTAAGGTGGGGGCTGTTTCAATTAATTTTTCAGAAAGTAATGACACCAATGTAACTGGATTAAGTTGAACAGATTAGACTGTGTATAGTCATTTGACCTTGAAAGGACACGTCAGGTTGTATTGGTAAATTCTCTCAGTGACCCACTGTCTGGATCCTGCAAAACACAGCACCTCCAGTAGAGTTTGTCACTATCTACCTATGTAGAATTTACTAATATGAAGTCAGCTGATTTCAGGTTGGTTTCCACTATAATTTTCTTCCTGTTTATGTCACAGAGAAATCGTATATTGGGAGGAATGGAGTGGTATGGCTTAGGTGCTAAAGTAAGCATCTTTGATTTTATTAGATGGTCCTAAGACAGAGACTATTGAAATATAAAAGTGCTGTTCATTACACAAAGGTTCATTTTCTAAAAGAAAAATTCCCCAGTCTGCTGATGTTTGTGTAGCAGAAGATTAGCCCTATGGAGACCTAGAGGCTTTGGCTGGAGTCACTTAAAGATCAAATCATTTATTTCTTTACCATTTGTTCAAACATTCATTCATGTTTATTACAATCTAGTTAAAAGGTGGGTACTGGAAGTAAAGCAGTAAGTAAAGCAGTTATGCTATCTTCTCCCTATGTAGTCTATTCAAATACATTAACACAAGGCATTCACAATTAGATACTCAATGGTATGAATCTTAATTCACCATTTAAAATGTGTGTATCTTGTCTGTGGATTCTATTTTCTGAGATGATCACAATAGAGGATGAAAAAGTATCACACATTGGTTTGTGTGAGAAATGAGTTTCACTGACTTGTGAAGCTGTCTCCTGATTGCTTAGAAAAGATAATGCACAAGGAACTTTAGTTCCTACTTATATATGAAATATCTATTTCTTCTGATATGGGAAAT